TTTTGACTCTGGCCTAGAGAATTGGGACTTTTGAGATATTTTTAAGCTCGAATGTAGTCATTCAGAGTGAACAAATACATCAAAAATTGACACTTAACTCACAAATTTCTGACTGCACCCCCGATATGTACCTTCTTTCTATACTGGAAACCATAAGATGGAAAATTCAATCTTTATTATGAATAGCAACTCGTTGGCTTCCCCATTTACGACAACATATGACATTTAGGGGTCACTAAGGACAAAATTGTAGCCAAATATCGTCAAAATCAGTGGTTTTTGGGGTAAATAACGAAAACTGCTGATTCAGCAAAAACATTAGATTTGTTCATGAAAATTCCCCTTTTTGCCTCCGTCCAAAATATGTTTCACACTAATAAACTTCAATTCTGGGCGATTCTGAGTAGTTTTAAAAAATTTGGGTCACTTTCACATGTGACTAATAGGCAAAACTGCCCTAATTCACGTCACCATACTAGTCAATGGGCAAAAGGGCAAACGCCTGACTTTTTATCTCGAGTTATGGATTTATGTGGCCTCACTGGCCTATCTGAGGTTCTAAAGCTATGTCTAAGCTACATCTTGACACTAAACTCAATAGGGGCCAACCATCTACTTTTTGAAATAATTGGTCAATTGTGACACTACCCCCTCTCTCTGCAGACACAAATTGAAATTCACAAAAATGAAGGCAAAATTAATACGCCACTTGACTCGAAATTTTCCTTCAGATAACCCAAATAAACGCATTTTCAGAAGAAATGGCATGTTGTCATTGCAAAAAGATCACAACTGTGCCTACATACTAGCTTACTGACTCGTCATGATCACAATTGTGTTGGGACTACATTTAGTTTTGAATACTACTTTTTTCTATTCAGCGGAAGTGACGTATTAGGGCATTTTGGCCAATTCAACAATTTAAACAGTGTTTTAGTCGTTTTAAGTGAACAAATCGTACAAAATGGCGGACAAATACGATCACAACGAAAATGTGGAGGAAATGAACTACGATTTCGAGCTCTTTAGGCTCTTGGAAGCCGATAATGGTCATCGAAAATAGAAACTAGAATATTTTCTGAATTGAAAAATTGAACATTCGATCGCTGCAAATTCAGATTTGAATTCTGACCAGACGAAGGGGCAGAGCGGCGGATTTCGGAGGAGTATTCATGGTATATTTATGCCCAGTCATGTTATTGTACGAAAAATATTCATAAGAACATTTTTTTCATGAGCCAGGCCACTGTATCTTCCCTTTGTGAAAATTTTATCCAGATTCCTTCAGTAGTTATTGAGATATTAATTATTTAGTCCAGGCATATCATTTTTTGCACTCTTTGAAAAAGAAGCCAGATGCGTGGGATATATTTGCTGAAATAAGGCAGCATGGTAAAGGTTAAGTTATTGGAAGTTTAAAGAATTTGTTACAGATGCCAACCAACACCTGCGGATTGCCACCGACCACGGATTGCCGCCACAAAAAATGGAGGCCATAACAATATGTCACCACTTTTTTATGGTGACATAATAAAATGTTATCATTTTGTGAAAATTATATCAAACAATATCTATTAGATATTCAATATTTATGAGCAACAGTGTAAATCCTAACTACTATTTTTGCAGTAAATGGTTGCAGGGTATATTTTAAATGTTTATTCATTTTGATTAGTTCAAAGTATTTTTATTTTTACTAGTGCTGGACCTCAAAAACCATAAGACTACTAAGAATTAGTTTTGTTGAGCAACTGCCCAATTCACCATAACTTTGAATTATATCAAGTCAAATTCAAAACAATCGAAAAATAACTGTTTTCTATTTTTCAAATTATTTTGGTCATTGGGATATTGCAAATAATCTCAGAAATACTAAGGCTCAAAGCATATAGCCAGTTGAGAGTACTGTACATTCTCCCATATTGAGTTGAGTTGAGATTTATTGCATTGTTACATGCTTCAGGAAAAATAATTCACCTTTGGTGCTATAAAGGCTTTAGATTTAAAAATTTATTACTCTCAATACCTTAAATTATTTTCAAGCTATAATGTGAATGTCAAGGCACAAATGCCAAAAGAAAATATAAGGTGCTTTCTGGAGAAAAACAACACTAGAACGTGTTTTATGAATTTGTATAATGATTCCTGAGTGGATCTGGAGGAAGGTGAAGACATTTGCTGGAATTACACATGGCGTTTTACAAAAGCTTCTTCGGTTTTAACCAGGTTTAAGAATTAGGTGTAATCGCGATTGCAGTTTTACAAAAGCGCTTTTCTAAAACTCCAAGAACCTTTGTCACTAGTAAACGGCATAAGTCGTTAGGCGCTTTAAGTGTGCAGTTTAATACCGATCAGTTTTTGTAAGACGCCTTACCCGGGTTTCTACTAGTTTTTAACATTTGCCCTAAACGAAATAAGACCTCATATCTAAATTGAAAAATGGATGATGGTCACCAGGTCACATCGAAATCAAGTGTTATCTTCAGAGAATATGTACACATTTTTCTTTTACCTTTTTATTATGTTTTTTCATTATTAATAAAAGATACATTAAAATTATGCAATGTCATGCAGTTTTAATCAAATTATGGAAGATCAGTTTTGTCTAGATGCAAAAAGAATACATTTACAGGAGATGTACACATACATGTATGCTGGATATTATCCATAACTACATCGTTAAAAGTGCACGAAAGACGTTTTAGAAAAAACAGGTATAATTCCAAAATATAATTCCTGAGACGCTTTAGAAATGTTGGTGTAATCAGAATGGCGATTTTGTAAGGCGCCTTCCACTAAAACGTTTTAGCGGATTTTGTGGTGTAATTCCAGCAATTGTTTCATTTTGCATAAAATCATAGTTTTTATCATCCTTTTTCAAAGTGCTATATATTGTTCTGATTGGCATGCATGGAAAACTGCTTATTCAAAACTGTTTTTTAAATTTTTACAGATGCTTTTCTCTAGGGGTCCTCTGTAAAGTGTAAGATTGTGTCCAATCTTCAATTTGACTCTGTGTTGTTTCTATTTTTGATCCATCTTAAGCTTCTTTGCTCATTAATGTTACATCACTAGCATTGATATGCAGATCACAGTTACATAGCTATGCATTGAAGCGCAAATGTCCTCTTAGTTAAGAATTAGTTACATTAGTACAGGGTGAGCCAAAAAGGGTAACCCGAACAAATCTAAACTCAGTCATTCTGCATGGATTTGATGTAATATTTAGCGAAATTAAACCTTTTTCAATGCTCTAGCATTCTATATAATTTCATTAGCACAGGATTTCATTCTGTGTTTTTATCAACTTCATTGGCCTATCCATTATAACGATTTTATAGCCATTAGACACTATAAAATGCTGGCATCGAGTCCGGAGGCTTGAATAGTTTTGGATGAGTTGTTCACTACACAAGCACAGACTTCTTGTGTAATGGGTCAGATCCTCCTTATTATCTCTATTCTTATCTATGTTTCAAGGGTTGTTAGTGTAGATATTGGCCCCATAGATAAAAACCTTGGGTGTTTCATGTCCGATGAATGTGGCCTGTTTCAACATTTGGAGCATGTTTTGCAAATGGCCATTTTATTGTGACCATTGGGGACAGAGCAGAGAATGACACATCGTTAGTTTTTGTGACTGAAATTTCCTACAAATTTCTCCACTCATCACCCTAATTACCTGATTTTGAGAGAATATGTTTGAGAAATGATAAAAGGTCATTCAGGCAAATTAGAAGGTGGTGACTTCAAAATCACCAAAAAGTCGAGTGACATGCAACACTGAGTCCAAGCTTAGATTTATCTCCCATTCTGCTCTTAGATTATTTCTGTGATAATTTAGCAGCAGTAACATATGACAAATTAATAAGCACTGTACCGGGCTAGGGAGTATTGGCACAGCAAGTCATTAAAATATCATTTATTTTAGATTAAAGACTCTGAGCTTTAGCATAACATTTACCGTATCAATTTGCCTCATCATTTATCTTCGTCTTTAACGTTCTTCGGAAAGGCTCTGGCAAGAGTTTTATAGGGATTATATTCCCACCTACCAAAATGGCACCTAAGTAAAACAGTGTTTTATTTTGTTTGAAGGGGTGTTGCACAACATGCCACATGATTTGCGGACCACTCGGTAAAGTTCCTTATGTACAGAAATGCTATGCAGAGGTTTACAAAACCTCTTCGTTTTTGTTTCATTTAAAAAACATTTCAAAATATTTTAGTGTTCTGGTCCTGGATTATGATAATGGTTCTCAATTTAAAGGGGGAGGGGGATGTTAGACACTATTTCCTTTCGTGTTAGATCATGGATATTCATGGTTTTGGGATATGATAGAGTCTAATTTTTTTATGACAGGTTTATACTTAGAGTTTGCTTTTCTTGCTATGTTTCTTTTCAGTTTTTGGTCCTTTCCTTTGGTAATTGTGCTTGGCTCCTTCCCAAAGATCCAACAACATGTTTTTATACTTGTGGTTTTTATTAATAGCTATCTGTGATTTGATTACACAATTTCAAAAAATAAATAAAAAGAAAGAGTATACATTTATATTAAGCATTATAATATTCAGGGTGGGCCAAAAAAGGCAACCCAAACAAATGTACTAATATGTTAATAAATCATTCATTCGCCAAGGCTTTAAAATCATATTTGGCACAAATACACCTTGTTCAATTTTCTTTCCTTCTCAATGGTCCTTTCCAAGAGTCACATGGCCATTTTGAAAACATGCTCAAAATGCCAAAATGTGCCACACTCACTGGACATAAATCCCACCAGATTTTTATGTTGGGCTAATGTCTATACCCTTGAAACATTGTTCAAGACACCCGATACCTTTAAGTAAGCCTCACAAACACAACGAAAGTATTTTACAGGGTGTTTTGTAAAATGGCCATTAAATCGTGACCATTGAAAATAGACCAAATAAACTTAATGGAATGAAAGATCATTAAAGAAGGTTTAATTGTGCCTAATATGACTCTAAACCCATGTTGAATAATTGAGTAATTATTATTTGTTTGGGTTACCTTTTTGGCCCACCCTGTTCAGGGTGTCAAATAAATATGTAACTTTATAGGGATTATATTCCCACCTGCCACTGCTCGTCACTCCATCTTGTAAGCGATTGTCAGTCATGTTATTTGAATTATTCTCATGTTTGAGATTACTGTCAATCAAATCATTCTTCATCCCATGTTTAAAGTGTCTGTCAATCAAATCATACTCATTCTTCACCTCGTGTTTTAAGTGATCTTCAATCATATCATTCTAATTATTCACTGCATGTCTGAAGTTACTGTCATCCAAATCATGCTCATTCTTCATCCCATGTTTAAGTGTCTGTCAGTCTAATCATACTCATTCTTCAGTCATGTTTTGGGTCACTGTCAGTACAGTCATATCCTGTTCATTATTCACTTCATGTTTTGTGTTACTGTCAGCAATATGCTTATCAATCAGTTCATGGTTTGAGGTATTTTCAACCATATCTTGTTTATTATTCATATGATTGGAGTTGGTTTCTCCATATTCCTCACACCGTGCTGTAGTTTGTGCTATTTCATATTTGTGTTCTAAAGGGATCTTTCTTCTCTGAAAAATAATAACAGATTTATATATTTTCAACACACTGAAGGTAATAACTAAAAGCTTGGTCCAAGGGTTCACTTTATTGGACCACCCGGTACCACATTTCATACATTTTTATCTCACCCTTTAGGTGCTATATTGTGATCAGTTTATTCGATGGGCAGTTGTTTGTTATTACTAAAAAAGAGTTGAGTGATTTTATCATTATTTTCAGCTAAAAAGAACAGCTTTATCTTAACACTTATAAATAAGTTTTATATGTTTTGTTATGTTTTTGTTTTTTTTAACTGAGGTTTGCTTAACATGTAAATAGAATAATTCCAAGGCTATGTTATTTAAGAAATATTTTGTATCAATTAGTCCGTTTTTGCTCATATTTTGTACACATATACTTTATACTGGTAGAATTTCTGCTCGAAAGCCGATTTTAAAAATGGCTGCTCATTTAAAAATGGCAGCCATTTTAGTGCCGATTTTACAGTAATTTAGTTACAATATGTAAAACTGTAATAGCAATATGTTTTAAATGTAAAAAAATTATATAGGACATTAAAAAAGCTAGAAATGTAGGTTTTAAAGAAGCACATGGCAGCCATCTTGAGCATTTTTTGTTCATATTTGGTATGTGAACACTATAAGCATGGCACACTGTCTAATAACACTTTTGGAAGAAGGTGACCATTTTGAAAAATGGCAAGCATTTTTTTGTTTATACTTTGTAAAAATGCCAGCCATGGCTGTCCGATGGGATTTGCTACGCTTTGGTGTCGCTGCTGTCTAGTTTATTATGTCCCCACCATATAGTGTGGGGCCATATTGTCGGCCTAGGCGCGTCCGGGAGTTTTCTCCAAAACCGCTACAGATATCACCTTAACATTTTCAGGGATAACTTATGAGTGCATACAGATGTGGATGAAAAAAATTTAACTCAATACCTACTTCCTGTCCGCCATTTTGAAGTCAAATGCTAAAATCCTTGTCTGCAAACTTTAAGAAAAACGGCTGCACAGTTGCTTTTAAAACTTTAACATCTTGTTCAGCTTACTTCATTCTAGATCTGATTAGGTTTTGGACCTGTTAGCTCAGTCATGTCAGCCATTTTGAATGTCTTAAGAAAAGTTAGCGAATGATAATACTTTGTATCATATTGAATGGTGTTTTTGAGTTTTCATACTTTAACTATTTAGTAGCTTTATAAATAATTTCAGATGTACTTTGTTGTAAAAGCCTATGTTATTGTTAACAGTAGTTATATGTGATAATTTTGTAAAAGAAATCAGGAAAAACTCATAATCACTTTTTTATTTTCGGCCATTTTGGATTTTTCCATCCTAAAATCTTGTCTGTGAAGTCTTGTCTATGTGTTTTCAGGTGAACCGTTTGGTGGATCAATTCTAAATTTTCAGGGATGATTCTTAGTATAAAAATCTAGATCTGATTAGTTTTTTGGCATTCTGGGTAAATGTCAAGGCAGCCATTTTGGATTTTCCGTCCTAAAATCTTGTCTGTAAAGTATTGTCTACGCGTTTTCAGGTGAACCGTTTGGTAGATCATTTTCAAATTTTCAGGGATGATTCTTAGTATGATAAAGGTAGAACTGATTAGTTTTTTGACATTCTGGGTAAATTTCAAGGCAGCCATTTTGGATTTTCCATCCTAAAATCCTATCTGTAAAGTCTTGTTTATATGTTTTCTGGTTAACTGTGTGACGGATCAATTAAAAATTTTCAGGAATGGTTCTTAGTTTGAAAATCTAGAAATGACTAAATTTTTGGCATTCTGGGTAAATTTTAAGGTGGCCATTTTGGATTTTCCGTCCTGAAATTGTGTTGGTAAAGTCTTGTCTACTCATTTTAAGGATAACCATTTGATGGGATCACCCATTGGTGGGGACATTTTGTACACATTTGTGTTCTTGTATAGTGTTTGTTTGGATTTGCTACTCCTTGGAGTTGCCTATACCTGTGTACTCATATAGTTCAAATTGTATATGTTGATGCCTAGGGACAAATGAGGTCTGCCCATGAAGGATTTTTCAAGATGGCTATTGAATTTCATAATGGCTGCCATTTTTCTTTGAAAACCGATATCTTTGATAACTCAAATATCAGTGGATGGATTTGTTTCAAATTATATATGCTGATGCCTCGGGACAGAGGAAAAATGGTCGAGAGGAATTTCTCAAGATGACAGCTGAAATTTGAAATGGCTGCCATTTTTCATAAAAAAAGATGTTATCTTTCATTCTGGTCTAAAAGTCATTTTCAAGATTGCCACTATATATCAAAATGGCTGACATTTGTCGTTAAAAATGTGTTAATATCAGTTTAAAGATTTGGTTCAAAGTGTATATGCTACTACCTTGGGACAAAGGAGCTCTGCTTAAGGAGAAATTTTCAAGATGATCACTTATTATCAAAATATATTTTGTTCGGTGAAATTTGCTCCTCCTTGGAGTTGCTGTTTTTCTAGTCATCTAGCTATTCATATCTAAATGTTTTATAGAATGTACGTTCTGATTATAAAGTACATGCTATAAATCTATACTTACATTTTCACTTTGGTGTCTCTGACACAGCACAGCAGCCATAGCATTATGCATTGTCTTTCTAAATGGCACTATAGCTATGTAATACAACAAAAAGTTGAAAGTGAAGTTTATCGCCTGCATCACTTCAAAAACAGTTGTCAACATTGAGAAATATTGAGGGGACTCTTTACGGGTTAATTTCCTATTTAGCACATAGTAGTTAGACAGTTCAACTGGCATATTCATTATGATGAAAATGATGATAATTGTCACTAGTATAGGTGTCAGGCGGTTTGAAACTCCTCCAGTTGATCTTTCTTGTGCGTTTGAGTACACTCTGCGCAATTTATGTGATTTGTGAAGAGCATGTATCAACAAGGCTGTTGTGACTAGTAATATTATCAGTGGTATAACTGATGCAAATGTCGCTAGTACAATTCTGTATGTAATCTTATTAAAGGACAAGCATGACATGTTCCACTGCCATGAAAAGTATACCTTTCTGGGCAATGGACTACCTATCAAACCATGTGTTTTACAGGTAAACTGGACAACACTCTTCACTGTGTATTTTGGTACACATAACAGTGCACATGTAACATATATGAATATTATCCCAGCATGCATTTTCTTGATGCTAAGGATTTCTCTGGCATGAAGAGGTTTGCAAATGACTATGCATCTGGTAAGAGCAAGTAAGACTGTTATCCATGTACTAACCAGCACAAATGTGTATGTGATCCCCTCTCTGTATGTTTTATAAAACATCCAAAAGTTATATGTTTCATATAGTTGGACCTTGTCTCTCTCCAAGTATTGAATTGATCTTGGAAAATATGTTATGCAGTAACACAAATCTGATATGGCTAGAGCGATTAGACCAATCTGAGATGTTTTCTCCAAATCATTCATATTGTGACTCATCCTTTTATGCAATAGGATAACAATGTTGAGTATATTCCCCATTATTCCAAATGTGAGGATTATTGGGAGAAAGTATCCCTCTGCATATTTCAGAGCAGTTTTGTAGTCTTCTTCCTCCTTTGAAATCACCTTCCATAATTCTTGTGCTACAAACTCACATGTGTGATTCAGTTCTGGTGCACATTTATCTGCTGTTTCATTATGAATTGTGAGGCTGGTTTTGTTTTTTATAAGTTCTATATAGTTCTGTACAGACTCTGCCATGGCTGATAGTTCTGTAAACAAACAAAAAGTTACATATTATTAACATATTTTATCATAAGAAAATCATGTATGCAAAATTATTGTATAAACGTTACTCTATAAACTGAAAATATATATCAAAATAAAATAAAATCAAAAAAATAAACTGTTTAAAAATCAGTTAAGGGGAATATTTGAAGTATGATGATCGTATTAATCAGGGATGAATTCATTTGGAATTTGGGTCACATGATGAGTTGATGGAATTTTTCATTCTCCTTCCCACTCTTTTTCTTTGTTTAGAGAGTTTAGAGACAAATACTATTGTCGTTTGTCTGACATTTTGTTTTGTAAATCTTCAGCCTTTTATTTTATGTTTTTGACTTAATTTGTTTTTTATTTACCATAATGCTGTTGTCTTTCAGACATTCAAATAACATAAACATACTATTCATTCACTATGTGAAGAAGAAACTGCCACAAATATATTGTTACAAAGAGATGAAGACAAGAGTACTTTTCAAGTCTTTAAGCAACAATTTTCAAAAGTCCTGCCAATGTTTTCATCGCAATCCAAATTTTAGTTGCCAAAAAAGAATTGATGAAATATTTTACAACCAGAAACACCAAAAACCTGAATTGAAAAATGAAAGATAATTTGACTTGAGACATGACATGGAATGACAAAGTTAAAAAAATGTTCTAAAATTGGCACACAATTTTCATAGCGTACTCTCGAGCCACTTCCACTCTTCCTTTTAATCTACATTCATATCAAATGACCTTCTGATTGATGAATTACATATAAATGTACAGTTTTTTACAGTTTTTGTATTTTTGGCTCTCATGCTACTTTTGAAAGAAATTAATTTTATATTTATTCATATTATATTTGTGTAATATTTCATAAGATACCATTCAATGTTTATATTCTCTAAAAGATAATGTCACTTAGTGGGGAAAATGACCTTTATCAATTTACATAATGCCACTATGAACAACATCAAATAAGGGATAGCTCCACTATTAAATGGCCCCATACAATTCAATTTAAAAAACATGCAAATCTTCGGTTCAGTTATGGAAAAGCTAAGATTTCAGTTACCAAACCAGATTTACCACGTTATAGCTCCTTATGTCCCCCTTGGAATTAGAAATGTCTCTAGAAAGAAGAGCCACCAAAATCAAAAAGATCTGACTGCTTTTTCCACCATCTATTCGAATTTTCAACACCACCCTATGCAGACAGAGCCTGTGGGAAATATTGGGTGCGGAGCAAATGAGCGGAGGGTGCGGAGCTAACGGTCATTTTTGAATTTAAATTTGGGATATTTCTGAAACTAAGCCGTTTTGGGACTTCAAATATACCAAGATATGTGTATTTGACACCAAATATCAATACAATTGTGAAAATAGTAGCGCAATTCATTCTATAGCGACGCAGTGTGCCTTAAACCTTTCCCAGACCTATATATTTTGAAATTATCCTTTTAATACTGAGTCCCCAGCATTCATAAAAAATGGTGTTCAAGGTACAATATCTATACAAATTATTTTTGCATCTTGGAAGCCAGGCAGTATCTGTGTGATTTTATAAAATTTCGGAAATTTTTTTCAGATATGAGCCCCTCTAAATATTGGGTGCGGAGGAGCTCCATAAACGTACCTCCGCACCCAATATTTAGAGGGTGCTCATATCTGAAGAACATTTCCGAATTTTTATAAAATCACACAGATACCGCCTGGCTTCCAAGATGCAAAAATAATTTGCATGGGTAGTGTATCTTGAACACCATTTTTTATGAATGCTGGGGACGCAGTATTAAAAGGATAGTCTCAAAATATATAGGTCTGGGAAATGTTTAAGGCATACTGCGTCGCTATAAAATGAATTGCACTACTATTTTCACAATTTTATTGACATTTGGTGTCAAATACACATATCTTGGTATATTTGAAGTCCCAAAACGGCTTAGTTTCAGAAATATCCCAATTTTAAATTCAAAAATGACCGTTAGCTCCGCACCCTCCGCTCATTTGCGCCGCACCCAATATTTCCCACAGGCTCTGTCTGCATAGGGTGAACACCTTTCAACAGATTTCAAAACTCAAGACCACTGTCACAAAAAGTCAAATATATGTAGCGAACCAAATAATTTCGAAATACTTTTTATACACACAAGATAAACAAAATAAAATGTAAAGTCTGTACATTTTCACTGGTGATTGCACCGATAAAACTGGATTTCCATCAACCATTATCCCAATTTTAAACATAGAATTTTTGTCATCTACCTGTTCAGCAGAGGGAATCAGATATAGCGAGCAGGCTAAACAAAAAATTGTTTCAATTTTAGAATATTTTTGGCTCATGTCATTCCTTTTCATGTCTATTTAAAAATCACAAAAGTGCATACTTTATTCCAGGAAAACTAAAGATTTTTACAATAATGTATTATTTTTCTATAAGAATGGTTACCATTCTTATTATTTTGGAGAATTTAAACATTTTTCACTCATTTTTGCACTTTGAATCATTAATATCTTCACCAATTTATAGCATATTGTGAATCTTTTGGGAGATATTGTATTTGATATTGTAAGGAATAGATTGGTAGGTCAATTATACATGTTGCTTGTAATTTTGTCACCCCCTATAGATCAGATTCTGCCTTTAAGTCATCTGAATGCAAAGTGAAGCTAGATTCGTAATCCACCCCTATGGCATTGAAACTAATACCTTCTTATAGGTGATCAGTTAGTAGACAAATGAGAAATTGCTATAGAGTAGACTAAGACAAAGTTGATGAGAAACAACATGCTTACTATATAAAAAACATTCTATCTATTCTCTACACCTGTGATTACCATTACCTTTTTCATAGCCAGAGAGTCATTAACAGAACGTTCATGAAGTTAAGAATTTCTGAAGTTGATTATAACACTTGATTTAGGAATTCTTAACTTTACAAGGTTTCTGTTAATGGCACCCATATGAATAAAATTTGGTAGGGATATAAGAAAATGTTGAATACTCTATCTTTTATGAGTACTAGTATCTACAACTATTTTTGATGTTATGAGTATTGGCTATCAATTTTTTCAATTTTTCTTCAACATGTATTGTAATGACTTCAGTATAAATGAAATGTCCCTTGGTGTTCTGGTCCTGGATTGTGATATTGGTTCTCAATTGGAGGGGGGAGGGGGATGTTAGACATTGTTTCTTTTCACGTTAGATCATGGTTTTGGGATATGGGTCTACTTTTCTTATGACAGATTTACACTTACAGTTTGCTTTTCTTGTTGGGTTTCTTTAAAGTTTTTGGTCACCTTTCCCTTTGGCATTTGTGCTTATATATTCAATAAGTCCATTTGTTTGTTGACCAGTCCTTTTATTTGGCTATCCATTTGTCTGCCTAGTTGAATACTTCCAAACAAATAGTTGACATATAGGGTCAAATTCTGTAGGCACATGCAGTAAAGGACTTTTCAAAATGGTTTGAGGTTTCCCCTCCCGAAGTGACTATTTCTCGGAAGACCTCGAACCATTGATCATGTTTGCTCCTGTAATAATTCACTTCTTTACCTCCTTCCACCTTGATTTAAATCATTCGATCAAACTTTCAGATTTTAACCTCCAATTCAAACATAATTATTTAAAAAAAAATACTGAATCATTATTATATTTTTAAAAGTCCTCAATATAACTTCAAATGAAGGGAAAATTAGCAAAAACTATGTAATGTCGTAAAATGGTGTGATACACATTCCAAGTCATCTGTGACGTCAGACATGTATTGCCACATCAACAGCTTAACAAACAAATCATCTTGACCGCACTGATTGGTTTAAAGTTTCTTCGATCGTTTGTGATGTCATTCGAGATTTTGTAAAGTTTAATATGCTTATGCCCTAAGGTCATATAACAACTCTGCTAAAAAGATTTTCAGGATGGTCACTGAATTCAAAAATGTCCACCATTTTGCATGAAATAATGTATATATTTTTATAATGGAAGGACTGGTTATTGGATTTGGTCTGAATTGTAAAGGAGTAATGTTAGAGGAGGAAAACACAAGAGTTTAATTGGCTTGGCAAAGGTGATCATTTGCAACACATTGATCACGGTGCCAATAAAAGATTGTCAGCTTTTTGAAAATGATCATTGTTTAGTCATACTGTATAGTTATGTGTTAAAAATTTTCTAATCATCTTTGCCAAGTGTATAATGCATTGTGACTATGTTAATGAAGATGTTACCATGCTTGTCTTACAACCTTCACGACCCCACCGCATACCTTCAGCATTCCTGGCAATTCGCAGAACCTGAACATGCTCTAAACAAACACTGGTGACAACCATGGAGACCAAAGCACTTTGGCATTTCAACCATGCTTTTACCATGCTTATTGTGATTATTATTATATGCTTGACCATTTTTCGTTGCCGTAGCAGCACAGTAAGGATACTAGCCCAGCCTGACAGAGGTATTATTGGGTTAGTTCTATTTTGAAATGTTGAAAAAATGATGAGTGATTTGATAAATATGTTTTATTAAGTGGAATTTGCTACTCAGGGAGGGCTGTTTTTTAGTTCAATAGTTTATCATTCACTCTGCAAAAATATTTTGAAATCCATAGCTGATTGAAAAAAGATATATTCAACTATATAAAGCATATAAAATTGAACATAAATGAGTGTACATATAATTATATTCCAAAATGAAAATCCAAATGTTTTTGCAATATTGAATTGTAAGAAATCTGCCAAAAGAGGGGAATTACCTGTATTTTGTGTGGTTCTCCCTTGTTTACGATTTTCTTACTTATTACCTTTCCTTTAAGTAAATTTCCTTTAAGTAAATTGTTTGTTAATATATCTTATATTTCACTTACTTGTATTTATCACTTGGTTACTTACTCAGCTTCTGTCATTTCATTTCTTGCTAAATCTCGTTTCTCATCCTAAGCTCATTATTTTGGTCTCCTAGTTCTCTTGGATCAACTAACTTGTTGATATTTTACTACTTTCCAG